AACCATTCACTCTAGACGCCTGCCCCAGTACCTTCTTCCAGAGGAGGGTTACTTCATTTCCAGTCGTCTCTACTAGGAATAACGACATCTACATCAACGTCAAATCTAAGGATTGGTGATATAAAGTCGCTTAGTTTAACGCGTTGGTCCAATGCTATACCTGGTTCATTCAGAACACTACTATGCCCAAAGGTACAGTTCCGCCAGAGTATTTGTTCATGCAGCCTTAGGGCGCTACGCGCAGTCTGACACTTAATGCTGAGGCCCAGAGGCTTGAAATACAGCATTGCGTTTAAAGCTGTTTATGGCGTACTCATTCCGGCTCCTGTAACTAAAATCGCGGCGGCTCTTTGTACCTTGTCTAATTTACTGGATGTCGACTTGAGGCTCAGACAGTTCCACCAAACAAGAGAGCCATAGGACAAGATGGGCTTCACCACAGTTTTATACAGCCAGTGTATAGTCGTGATCAGGGTAAAATTCTAAGATGATCAAGGCATTTCCGCCCGTCCGACTGTTGTAATCACGCAATATTCTGAAGGAATTGAGGTAGGATGCTGAAATTTTGCATAGGTTTGTCTTTTGTCTGCAGGCAGGTTGGAAGATGGGATATATCGGTCCACGTTTAAGCATAGCTCCCATATAACGGTACATCCCAATTTTCGGCATTTTGCGATTTTTGAGCGCGTTCTTCAACCGAATTCGCTGAAATTTGGTATTTTGTTATCGTATATGGTAACAAATCACGCCACCAACAAAATGTTTATTATCTTGAATGCTCTATAATCTATTTTGTAACATCTATATCTTAAGAGCAATATTAATAAAAATTGAAATATTTATTTACAGAAAGTATACATTTTTAATTTTTTTTTAACATGCCATTCGACATGCATAACATTTTACAACGTTACCTAAAATCCAACGAGGCGTACAAAAATATTCAACTTCCCCACTATGTCGAAATGTTTTGTACGGCCGTATTACCCAAATACGTCGAGTCCATATCTCTTAGCGATCTAAACAAAGTCGAGAAATAAACTTGAAAAATTATAAATTTTGTCTAATTATTTCATATTCTTATTGAAAATACATATTTAAACGGCATATACATTAGAACTTTTTACCGGGTTAACCTACTTTATGAGGATTTATTTGACATATATTCAAAGGAATTGACAATTGAAACCCACTGGGTGAACGAAATCCGGTTAAATGTAAACGTACTGTTATACGGCATTTACATTAGAACTTTCTACCGGGTTAACCTACTTTATGAGGATTTATTTGGCATATATTCAAAGGAATTGAAAATTTAAACCCACTGGGTTAACCAAATCCGGTTTAATGTAAACGACCTTTTACTTTATGTTTGGTTTCTTTTTTTAATCAAATGAAAAAAAAACAAAAATTCGTTCTGTCATATTTGAATTTTTTTTCAACTTTGAAAATTCGTAAAATTCGGTAACATTCATATACATAAATGCATGTGTTCTACTTTTGTAGTGATTTATTTTATTATTTATTATTATTATTTATTTTTCAAACAATTTGAAAATTAAAAAAGTTGCCATTATTCATTTCCCAAATGAGACTACTTTCTGTAATTATGCCATGTAGCTGACAAATCCACATCATTTCATTTTAATACTGGTCTAACAGCTATGATTTGATATCTCGATTTACAAATCGAATCGATTCAGAAGGCACAGTCTATACGCGCCTATACGTTTTTTTCATATCTCGCATATGAACAATTTCGTATAAACCTAACATGACTTCTTTCACTCTCACAGAGTGGTAACTCTGCATACTAACATGTGTCTGTTAAAACAGCTGATTTGTTCCATTTACTACCAATTTCATGCAGTTGACATTTATTTCCTAGTCACATTAGACGTTGTCGTTGTTTCCCCTTCTATTCATTATTTTATTGTTATTTTCTATTAAAGAAAAGGTGACAAATTAATACATTTTAACAAAAATTAAAAAAAAATATCACATTTATCTAAGACAGAGTGTGTGTGTGTGTGCGTGCATGTTTGGGAGACAGATGAGCAAAGTCCATTGATAAAAATCATAACAGTGGCCTTCAGTGAATGTACACAGTGTAACGTAAAATAAAAATCACTGTCAAGGTTTATTTCTATCAAAAAAAAAAAAAAAAAATAAAATAAAATAAAATAGGAAGATAAAACGTCAGAAGACAGTAGCATTGTGCGTCGTGAAATAATTATGATGACGTATAAAATACATTTTGCCTAAATATTGTGTAATTAGTGTAAACAAATTATTTATTTTTTTAATATTTTCTTAGTTGAAATTCATCATCATTGTCGTCAGTATTAAGAGAGATTGTGTTTTATTGAACGGGAGAGAGAGAGAAAGTGCTGGCAAAAAGTGGAGGTTTGTGCATATAACTTACAATCGGAAATACCTTTAACGACATAATGTAAGTAACCTCCTATATGATTAATTGTTATTAATTTATCATCATCTTTATCACTCATAGATTTATCAAAATCCCAGACCACAGGCAAATGATTGTGAATTCTTTATCTATGCAAAAAAAATAGTCTAGTCACATTTTTAGCTTATCTCTTTTCTAAGTAGAAATGCTGATAGATGATAAGAGTCCATGGGAGAGAGTCCATGGCATGATTTGCTTGTGCCGAAATATAAACAATTTTAACATGATGCAATACATAATGAAAATATTATTTAATGGCCAAAGGCATTTTTTGAGAAATACTAAATCAAAAAAAAAAAAACATTTTGAACATGGAATTTTGTACATATCTTTGATTGTACATTGCCCCGGAGAAGATAAATATAAAATATTTTGATTCCAGGAAGTATATTGGAAGATAACGCACCACCAATCAGGAAATTTTAGATTGTTGGGTAAAAACGATATTGCGAACTTTGTTCAGCGAACCGATTAAGATAAACAATTGTCATAGATAGGTATGTTAATCTGTTTCGGTCCGAAAAATTCTTGTTCCAGCTAACATTTCGAACAGGAGCAAGTTGATTTAAGGGGCTCATCTTGATTATGTCAGCTTTTCAGTCGGGGATGCAACAGTTTTGTACATATCAGGGGATATTTAGGAAACCTATATGATTGTTGAAAAATATTAACCCTGCTACTATGTTAAGAGCCATTTGATGACCCATAACATTTTATCATCATCGTATTTCTTACTGTTGAAATATATATAATTTCAGTAGTGTTGTCGGGTTATTTGGGAATACCATTTGTATTTTGTTTTTGCAAAATAGTGAGGCTGAATCCCAGTTTATTGTTTTTATAAAAAAAAAACTATTAGTGGGGAATATGTGTCCGCCGAGGGGTAAGGCAGGGAAGACTATAGTTTCGGATCTCGCCACTGATCCTCATCAGTTCCCTTAGTTTTTTGTTGGGGTATTCTCCCCAGAAGCTACTTATTGCTTCTTTACAAAAAACCCAAAAAAAAAAAAAACTAAGGAAACTGATGAGGATCAGTGGCAAAATCAGGGATACGTAGTCGAGCGCAAAAGTAAACTTTTCGATTTTTACCTTTGACTAAAAAGTCGATTTTTAGACTTTTCGATTTTGACCTTTCACGAAAAAGTCTACTTTTCGATTTTCTCAAAACTGTTCAAAATCGATTTTCGACTTTTACTGTCTTCTGCAAATTTGATTTTTTGTATGAATTATTGTGAACAGATAAAGTAAAGTTCCGGAAAGTGAAATTTTTGGCAATTTGAGCTTTGTGATAAAAAAACCAAGTATTTATGAAGAAAATCGATTTTTCAAGATCGACTTTACGATTTTCTCATAGATCAAAAATCGACTTCGACTTTTAGACTTTTCAATACAAAAAGTCGATTAATCGATTGGTCGAAAGTCGATTTACTTATCCCTAGGTGAGATCCGAAAAAATGCAGTTAAACTTTTGGTATGAACTATATATTTTTATACCTTCAGCCTTATGGCTAATCGAAGGGAATAATCGATTTCATCCAAACTTACATTTGAATATTTCTTCAAACATAGAACAAAATCGAAGATGGGGAATATCGGTCCACTTCTTCTGGTACCTCTTTCACAAAATGGTAAAAATTGTACAAAAAAAAAAATAAATGTTTTGGATTATCCGATTTGGACCATCCGATTTGAACCATCCGATTTGAACCAAACTTTGTACAAACTATTATCTTTACCAAGCGTAGATGAAGTCCGAAGATCGGATCCATTGGTCCACTTCTTCTGGTACCTCCCCACAAATGGTCAAAATTTTAAATATTTTTAAATCTAATATTAGGCGAACGAAATGTCCAATATGAAACAAACTTTGCATAACCTATTATGTTTACAAAGCATAGATTAAGTCCGAAGGTGGGATGCAATGGTTTACTCCTTCTGGTACCTCCCCCCACCAAATGGTCAAAATTGTTCCAAAAATAAATATTATAATATCATGCGAACGGGCTATCCGATTTCAACCAAAATTTGTAAAAATATATTTACCAAGCGTAAATGAAGTCCGAAGATGTGATGCATTGGTCCACTCCTTCTGGCACCACACCCCTACAAACAACATTTTCAATATTTATAAATCCTAGATTAAGATCCCCACCAAAAAGGCTCTGTATATTAAAAATTGACAATTTTGTTAAGTTGAAACAAATTGAATAATCGATTTGGTCAACATTGAATTTGAAACCTCGTTGATAAAAAGGCTGCACTAGAAGGAGATTCAGGTCATTTCGAAATTGGGGATCTCAAAACCTAGAAATTTGTATTGTCAATATATGTAGGTGTAGGACCACTAACAAATACAGATCCAAAATCGAATGTACCGCCCCATATTAGGACTCATTTAGTTTATTCTGTATTAAGAGAATTTACCAGGCGTTTTTTTTGTTTTTTTTTTTGTTTTTTTTTGTTTTTTTTTTTTTTTTTGTTTTTAATACGATATAAATGTATACAATTTTTATTTCAGTAACACATCAAGATGACCGTAGGCAAAACTAGGCAACTATTGTTATTATTCCGTCCCTCACTGAATCTACCATTCAGACGAAACAACTCTTCATATAGTTCGACAACTAATGAGCCAAAACAAAGAAAATTTGCCACAAGAGATGTAAGTAGAGTTTAGCAGCCATAAAACCCAAAATCCTTTTTCTAATCAATAACTTTTTTGTAACTTGTTTTCAGTTTGAAGAAATACAAATCCCTGTGCCGTGGGGTCACATAGCTGGCAAATGGTATGGACCAAAACACGAAAGACCCCTGGTGGCTTTACATGGTTGGCAAGATAATGCAGGAACCTTTGACACGTTGGCTCCTTTACTGCCACGTGACATCCCTATCCTGGCCCTTGATATGCCCGGCCATGGTTTATCATCATGGTTACCGGATGGCATCAATTATCACTCCATTGATTATGTTACCCTTATTAATCGCATTATGGACGAATATAAATGGGATAAAATTTCCCTAATGGGTCATTCGATGAGTTCAATAAATAGTTTTGTCTACTGTGCCCTATTCCCGCAGAAAGTCGATTTGTATATTGGATTGGATGTCCTAAAACCTCTAACACGGTCTGCCAAAAGCATTGTTGACATATTAGGTGAACGTATCGAAAGCATATCAAAGGTGGAGCGGAGAATACGTAATAAAAGTGAACCTCCAGCCTATGAATGGGATCAATTGGTTGAACGTTTGCATGTGGGCACAAATAAATCTGTCGATATGGATACATGTAAATTCCTGCTGAAACGTAACATTAAACCCTCCGAACATGAACCTCATAAATATTATTTTTCACGTGATGGCCGTCTGAAGAATTCTCTGTTCTATGCATTTTCACAGCAGGTGCCTGTGGAAATGGCACGACGTATAACCTGCCCACATTTGTTTATTAAAGCCCTACAGGCTCCTTATTACGAACGTAAGGAATATTATGACGAAGTGTTGGCCATATTGCAACAAAAACCTAATTTTGTCTATCACGAAGTTGAAGGCAGTCATCATGTGCATTTAAATGAACCGGAAAAGGTGGCGCCTTTAATTATTTCATTTTTGGAAAAATATAGAAGTTAAGATAGATTTATGTCAATGAGTTTGTGTGTGTGTAAATTTATGACGTACGAATGTTGTTATACTTGTACTGAACGCAAAAATGTAGGTTATTTTTAAAGCAATTTGTAAATAAATTTAAGACTTAACAGTTCTCTTGGAAGTAATGCCAATTACATTTAGTTCAAAAAACATCACGTTTGCTGTTTAATTTTATTTTTTTAACTAACAATTTTCAATCATTAGAGGCCTAAGTTATTATTCGATATGTGTTATTATTAATATAATATTCATTATATTCTCTCCAGAGAGGCTGTCGTATAAATAATTTTAATAGATAGCCCAAACTTTTATATAAAAAAATTATATTTTAATTAATAAATAATACAACAAAATATTTTCAGTGCGTAGTGTCTAACCAGCTAGCAATGTTTGACGAGATATCTGATGTTAGATTTACCAAAAAAAATATCAACATTTGTCAATACAAACAAACAAACATAGGAACAAGGTCCTCAAGTCGATTGCCGGCAGCACTTGGGGCACAGATAAGAAAACCTTGTTACAAAGCGATAGGTCGGTCTGTGGCTAGCTATGCGGTTCCAGTGTTATCTGCGAATTCCAGTGACACGCAATGGAGAAATATTCAGACCTGTCAGAATGCCGCCCTGAAGACAGTGCTGTCACTGACACCAGTGGACCATCTTCATGATGAGACGAAGATCCTTCCCGTACGTCAGCATAGCAATATGCTTTCGTTGCAGTACCTGCTCGGGTGTATCAGGACTCCCCCACCCAGGCGTGTCAGGAAGGATCTGCATGATCTAGAGAGAGAGAGAGGTCCAACGATACAAAAGGGAGCCTCTAGATCAAGTTGCCTATCGAGCAGGTCTGAATGGCATTCATACAGATGGAGTAGCCGCAGCGCTGAACGGTTACAAAGTGAATGCCGTCCTCGGAGCTCACCCCCGACCCATAGCATCTGAAGAACGTCAGCTGCCCAGACAAACCAGAGTAGTTTTGGCCCAGTTACCTTCTGGATGGTGCAGTCGGCTCAATTCGTATTGGGCACGGATTGATGACCAGGTGCAGGATATCTGCCCAGCATGTGGTACAGGCCCTCATACCACATTGCACATATTCAATTGCCCAGCCCAACCTACTCACCTCACTCCGGAAGATCTGTGGTTACAGCCAGTGGAGGTAGCTGCATTTCTAAATCTGGAGACAGAACTGGAGGAAACTTAACAGGAAATATACAATTCATATAAACTGCTACAACAACAACAACATTTGTCAATTTTTAGGGTAGCCCATATCATGGTCCCTCTCAAAATTCGTTATTTTGGTTGTTTGGGCAGGGTTTTCCACCGAATTGGCTATATTGAATGATCGATATGGTCCACTTGTTGAGAAAACCCCCCAATATTCGCCCTTCTTAAATTTCGTTATTTTGGGGATTGTGAGGGAATTTTTTAACCGAATAGGTTCTAATTGAGTGTTAAATCCTTCTACCAAAAGTTGATCATGGCCTGATCCATCATATATCTACGGTCTCTAACAATTACAGGTATTTTTAATGTACTCCTCATGGTGGAGAGTATACGAAGTACGGCCTCGACAAGTCTATATCAATAGGGTTGAATAATATTACAAATAACTCATCTCCGAAGTAACCTTCTGTTTTCTTATTGCGATTGATCATCTGAATTTACAAAGTAGTTCAATTTTTTTCATATCAATAGTTTTTTTTTCAGTACAATAGTTATAAAAATTATCAATTGAACCACTACCTCATAAAATAAACAGCCCTTATAGTGCAAACGTTGTCATAACATTTGTCCTTTTAACAATATAACTTAAGTATTTGATTCTGTTTGTGTTTTTTTATTTTTAATAAAAATTTTTTTAATTAAAAAATATTCTAATGTTTTTTTTCATTTCATTTAAAAATCTTCATACATTTTAAATACCAATGTATGCTCAAATGTTAACGGCGGTGTTGCAACGAAGAAAACAATTCCATAATTCTTATCCCTCTCTCTCTATTCTTGCATAGCTTCTGGTTGCTCCGTTTTCTTCTCTTCGTCATTATCCTCACATGTTATCAGACACTCATCATATGTCCACTTGGGATAGACACGTTTAAACAAATACATAAACACCGTATCGTAAGAACGTAACTGGCCATCGAAATAGCATTTCATGTGACCATGTGTACCCAAAGATTCCTTAATATGACCGAGACGACCACATTTGGTACGTAGTTTGACGGGTTTGAAATATTCCACATCTTCCTTGTTGAAGAACATATAACGTATTGTGGCCGATTTACGATTAATGCGCATCGGATGGCCACTGAGCACAACACGTTTCAATATAATACGATCTGGATTACAGGATAGCAGGCAGCCGCGAGCAACCAAGGCTAATGTTGAATCGGGATTGGTTTTGAAGGCCAATATGGGGGCTGGTGGGAATTGAATGGGAGCATAGAAGGTGGCACACACTGTTGTATGGGGTCGGAAATAACGTTCGAACTGTAAGAGAAAGTAACAAATATAGTTATTAAGAAATTGTCTTATTTCTACGGTCTATTTTTTGAAGTCATTTGTGATTTTATTCTCTTAAAATGACTGCGATTTGACTTGGAATCTCTTACCTTATGTTTATCACCATTGGTGTGCTGACTGAATATGGGATTGACGACAAATCGACGATAACCACATTGTATAATAAGTCTTTCCTTAGATTTGATGGGTACTTCGGAATCGGGTATTCTTTTGAGTACCGCATTCACCACCGACATTTGATGCTCGTGAGGCAATAGACCATAAACAATGACATTATCGGTCAATTGAGCCGATTTAAAAGCTTTCCATTTGCTTTCTGGCACATTGGCAACAAAAATGGTAATATACCAACCAGGCTGGAAAAAGCGCAAAAGGAAGAATTGATTAATATATAATTCCAGTTATTGTTTTATGGTAAAACTTACCACAGCACCATCAATTTCCTTGGCTTCGTTTATGATACGCCTCTTGGTACGTTCAAAGTTTTGGAATTGATAGATGCGAGCATAGTCGTAGGGTAGATTTTCTTTGGGATCCCATGGCGAGGTTCTAAAAAGGAAGGATAAAAATAAAAAAAACAATTAAACATAAAGTTTGGTTCGGCCGGGCCTAAACCACTCTCCATGAGGTGTGTACATTTTAAAATAAATAAAATCGGTTTGGTTCCTTATATGGGGGTTATTTTTAAATATATGAGCCATATTGGACATTGTCAATATATCTGTTATCCTCTGAGAAATGAAAATACTAAGTTACAGACTCTTCAGTAGGAAAATCCAATAGGCGTGGATTTTTAAAGAACGTTTTCTGAAGAAATATCAGATCAATTGGAGTGGATTTTTAAAGAATATTTTCTGAAGAAATATCAGATCAATTGGCGTGGATTTTTAAATAATATTTTCTGAAGAAATATCAGATCAATAGTCGTGGATTTTTAAAGAATAATTTCTGAAGAAATATCAGATCAATAGGCGTGGATTTTTGAAGAATATTTTGGAGATCTTGTATGCAACTGTCTTTGATATCTCCCTAATTTTCATCTTCTTCTTCAAACTCACCTAAACGATTCCAATCCACGGAATTTTTGGAATCTTGTACGTGCTGGTATATCCAATGGTGTATCAATTTCATCGGGCCACATTTCATCAATGCGAGCCTCTTTAATTTTTTTCATTGTTTCACGTTCTTCTTGGAAATCCATTTGTTGATCGTATTTCTCATCATTTATGGCAGCATCCGATACGGAGGCAGTATCAACATATTCTTCGGTATCTGATTCCGGCTGCTCACATTCACCATCAAATGATTTATTTTCACAAGACATAAATTCATCTTCATCGTTGTCTTCATCATCCTCATCACCATCCATATCATCATCCTCCTCATCATCTTCGTCGGCCTCAACTTCTTCAACATCTGGAATCCAAGCTGCCTGATAGGCACTATAACCTTTGGGTACACGTTTAATTAATTTCATCTTTTTCGTTTCCTTTTGTGATTCGGCTATTTCTTTTTCTGTCGGCCAGGTTTGTTCAGCATCCATTGGATCGGGTATATTTTCCGATTGCAAAGATGTTTGTTTATTGGGATCTGCCTTGGCTACCAAACGTACATCTGATAAATCTTGATTACTACGATATTTATCTAATCTATAGGGATCTTGTGGTGCATGTATTTCAGACATTTGAAAATCACCCAAGCCAGTAATGTGTACTAGGCCGTTGACATCAAGCGGCGTGCCGCGTAAGAAACCGGTAACTTTGAGTGTACCTTCATCTTCGGCAGGATTTGGATTGGGTATAAATTCAACGTGATCACCAAAGAGATGGGGACGATTATTGCGATTGTAGATAATGTTCTTCTTCTGGCCACCAATGCGACGCATTACATTAAGACCTGGAAAAGAGAAAAATATCTGTCATATAACAGCACTTTCCCATCTTAATTTTTGTTATTGTAATTACCTTCCATATTGGTGTCCAACTGCATAATTTTTTCTTTGGGCAGCAATTTCGAAATGAATTTCTGCACCGCGGCCTTTGCGCCACTGCGACGTTTCGGATTTATCGATTCCAAATCCATGAGTGCTACAATGGGTGTTGGTATACTTTGAGCTGAGATCATATTGAAAATACGATGTCCCCATTTATCAAAAACATCATCTTCACCCATAGCGGCGGAGGTTAACATTAACGTAGTATCACATACTTTCAGGTAATCGAGAACAGTTAATTCATTGCCACGACCCACTGGTGGTATAATAAAGGCAAAACGTTGTTTAAAACGTGGCAGATTCATGTAAGTAACACCCGAAGGTGTACGTTCCACAATAGCCTCTTCATCGCAACTTTCCAATATGGCCAATGCTGAACGGGCATCGATTTGTTGATGCATCGGCAAGATGCATACCAGGAAGGGCGCGGTGTTTTGGCCACCCAATTGACGTTTCAAAGCTAATGCCTCCTCACGTTTGTTTTTACGCATCTGTAAAGAAAAGCAGAACAAAATGTAAGTTCAGAATATGTATTGGAAACACACAAAATCTTACTTGGCTAATTTGATTACGCCTCTGTTCCTTGCGCTGAATTTGTTTATGCTTGTGTGAAATGGCCGTATTGGATACCTTGCCTGGAAATATTTAAACTTTTAATTAAAAAAATTGAATTTATTTCCCTTCCAAAAGACCACCTACCTTTCAGGGCATTATCAATGGCACCCTTGGACCGATGTCTACCGGTTTTATGTGCCTTATTGGCTTGTTTTAACGGCCCAGGCCGATGAAAAACATGATCCGCCATGATTCCTTCGTATTTTCAATTTAATTCCTTAAAGTTTTACACTATTTTATTGAATTTGATTAGAAATTTCGTTTTAGAATTATGGAAGCACATGTGTTTTCGTTTTCACACAACAATTAAAAAGAACAAGCATTTGACATGTTGCCTCGTTGTTGTTGTCTGTCAAAATAATAAAAACATTTCAGTGACAGGGTGTTTCACATAATTGTTATTTTCATGGTAATTGGGTATGTTCAGTGTTCAGTGTGTGGGGAGAAAAAAATAAATAACAGGTTATTATTTATAATTATTAAAAAATCAATTTACCTTCCTTTTAAATAAATTAACAATTATTTCAATAATTAATAACTATAATTTTTATAGTAATACATGATGCAAGGTGTAGTTAAATCAATAAGTATTGAATAAAGTACTAAGTCTCCAAGTAATGGGTATGTTCAGTCCGATGTAACAGTTTGTTCAGTGAAGACATTAAAGCAAAATGCGTGAATTTTTTTTTAATTTGTTTCTAAATGATTTATTGGACTATAACCTCTTTTTTAAGAATATTTTTAAAAATGATTTGTAAAGAATATTTTGTGAAGAAATATCCGAGTAATAGACGTGGATTTTTAAACAATATATTTTCTGAAGAAATATCAGGGCAATAGGCGTTGAATTTGTAAAGAATATTCTGTGCAGAAATGTCCGAGTAATAGACGTGGATTTTTAAAGAAAATTTTCTGAAGAGATATCAGGGCAATAGGCGTGGAATTTGTAAAGAATATTTTGTGAAGAAATATCCGAGTAATAGACGTGGATTTTTAAAGAATATTTTCTGAAGAAATATCAGGGCAATAGACGTGGATTTTCAAAGAATGTTTTGTGAATAAATATCAGGCCAAAAGGCGTGAGTATTTTAAGAATATTTTATGAAGAAATATCAGTGAATAGGTGTAGATTTTTTAAAAATATTTTATAAAGAAAGGTCAGGCCAATAGACGTGGATTTTTTAAAAATATTTTATAAATCAATATCAGGCCAAAAGACTTGAATTTTTGACGAATATTTTATGAAGAAATATCAAACCAATAGGCGTAGTTTTTTATGAATATTTTATGAAGAAATTTCGAATATGAGTATGAGACCTGAATTGTTTAAGAATATTTTTGGAGGAACTTCGGAGAAAATGTGCCGACGACATTTTAAGAATAATTTTGTGGTTATATTTTGAGATACAAGCATGACGTTTTTTCAGGCAATAATCTTGGGTTTCTAAGACTATTTTTACCAAGGAATATCATAACACAATAATCTCTCTTGTTAACGATTAATTATTTGAAAAATAAGACCTTCAAAAATTACACATATGAAACCAAAACAAACATTTCCGATATCGAACAATTGATTTAAAACTTCCTACTTCAACAATGTGATTATTTCAATTAATTTCTCATTATTCAATTCAACTCGATTCGTGCAAAATTTATTTCAAGTTTTGCAATTTGATTAAATGATTAATTACGTTGACGACACATCGAGTGTAAACAGTCGGATTGTTCGTTCCACTGGACAAGAGGTGTTGATGTCGACGATGATATGGCAAATTCTTGTTTAACAAACAGTAGCAAATTTCGCACTTCAACATTATTTTTTATGCGTTGCCATTATGCCAATAACAAAATAGAAAATTAAAAAACATAATTAAAGTAAAATTCAATGGAAGAGATGCCCAAAGGCATCAACATTCCAAACGTTGTGGAACGACATTGACCACCTAAAGAAGACCACAATTTCAATACGATTCGAAATTAATGAACAAGTTTCTAATTGTCTTTTCCTTCTGATAGTGATTTGGTGACTTGTTACTATTATGCATGGCGAGAAGTATTCCAAAAATCATTAATGACAGTGTGTAAAGAACAACATCGTTATGGGGACCATACAATTGTTTTGAGTTATCTCCACAGATGCTGCTGCTGGTTACGCAACGTTTGTTGGTTCTCTAATGAGGAAGTCAACATTTAATGGTACATTAACAGAAAATCGTGGTTGTTATTCTGGTTAAAACTAGTAAACAATGTTGCCACTAAATATGCAATGAAAATTCGCAAAGTAATTATTGTCTTCTATTTGAGATACTAATAAATTATTTGATGACCTTCCTCAATGCTACGTAAGCAATTTTTTTTTTGAAGAAATCATAGAGTGAAGGTACCAAATTTTCTTAACTGCTTAAAAAGTTCTCAAATTGTTGTTAAGAAAATATTCTTAAAAAAAATCCACGCCTATTTCTGTCATAGTCCTAGAGAAAATATTCTTAAAAAAAATCCACGCCTATTTCTGTCATAGTCCTAGAGAAAATATTCTTAAAAAAATCCACGCCTATTTCTGTCATAGTCCTAGAGAAAATATTCTTAAAAAATCCACGCCTATTTCTGTCATAGTCCTAGAGAAAATATTCTTAAAAAAATCCACGCCTATTTCTGTCATAGTCCTAGAGAAAATATTCTTAAAAAAATCCACGCCTATTTCTGTCATAGTCCTAGAGAAAATATTCTTAAAAAAATCCACGCCTATTTCTGTCATAGTCCTAGAGAAAATATTCTTAAAAAATTCCACGCCTATTTCTGTCATAGTCCTAGAGAAAATATTCTTAAAAAAATCCACGCCTATTTCTGTCATAGTCCTAGAGAAAATATTCTTAAAAAAATCCACGCCTATTTCTGTCATAGTCCTAGAGAAAATATTCTTTAAAAAATCCACGCCTATTTCTGTCATAGTCCTAAAGAAAATATTCTTTAAAAAATCCACGCCTATTTCTTTCATAATCCTTGAGAAAATATTCTTTAAAAAATCCACGCCTATTTCTTTCATAATCCTTGAGAAAATATTCTTTAAAAAATCCACGCCTATTTCTTTCATAATCCTGGAGAAAATATTCTTTAAAAAATCCACGCCTATTTCTTTCATAATCCTTGAGAAAATATTCTTTAAAAAATCCACGCCTATTTCTTTCATAATCCTTGAGAAAATATTCTTTAAAAATTCGAAATTTCGCCTTTATAATAGAAAACATATTTTGGCAAATTTATGACTATCCAATCTAAACTGTGTGTGTGCGTTAATTTAAAATAATGACTTGATTTTTGTTATTTCCGGATTCATGTACTCGCACTGACACTAATACATATGTATATCAAACAAAACATCTATGTTCTTACCGGACAGGGTCTAATAATTTACATACTTATATTGCTGCATACCTTTTAACTGATGTACGTGTGTACATGATGAAAAAAAAAAACAACAAAAACATACATTTATTTGTGTAAGGAAATAAATATTTGCGGAGTTTGTCGTCGTAAAGAATATTAGTTATGGTATTTTGGCAAACAAAAGACTTAAGACACAAACGTAACTAATTGCAAAAACTTAACGAAATAAAATTTGAAACTAATACGAAAAATATTTTTTTGAGATTTAAAATTAATGATAGCAATTATAGCAATTATCAATTATATTTTTCAAAGTAAATTTTTATTCTTATATCTCCTCGAAAAAAATATTCTTAAAATGTCTGATGGTCCTTCAAAAAATATTCTTTAAAAATCCACGCCTATTTGTCTGATGGTCCTTCAAAAAATATTCTTTAAAAATCCACGCCTATTTGTCTGATGGTCCTTCAAAAAATATTCTTTAAAAATCCACGCCTATTTGTCTGATGGTCCTTCAAAAAATATATTTTTTAAAAATCCACGCCTATTTGTCTGATGGTCCTTCAAAAAATATTCTTTAAAAATCCACGCCTATTTGTCTGATGGTCCTTCAAAAAATATTCTTTAAAAATCCACGCCTATTTGTCTGATGGTCCTTCAAAAAATATTCTTTAAAAATCCACGCCTATTTGTCTGATGGTCCTTAAAAAAAATATTCTTTAAAAATCCACGCCTATTTGTCTGATGGTCCTTCAAAAAATATTCTTTAAAAATCCACGCCTATTTGTCTGATGGTCCTTCAAAAAATATTCTTTAAAAATCCACGCCTATTTGTCTGATGGTCCTTCAAAAAATATTCTTTAAAAATCCACGCCTATTTGTCTGATGGTCCTTCAAAAAATATTCTTTAAAAATCCACGCCTATTTGTCTGATGGTCCTTCAAAAAATATTCTTTAAAAATCCACGCCTATTTGTCTGATGGTCCTTCAAAAAATATTCTTTAAAAATCCACGCCTATTTGTCTGATGGTCCTTCAAAAAATATTCTTTAAAAATCCACGCCTATTTGTCTGATGGTCCTTTCAAAAAATATTTTGATGGTCCTTCAAAAAATATAAAAATCCACGCCTATTTGTCTGATGGTCCTTCAAAAAATATTCTTTAAAAATCCACGCCTATTTGTCTGATGGTCCTTCAAAAAATATTCTTTAAAAATCCACGCCTATTTGTCTGATGGTCCTTCAAAAAATATTCTTTAAAAATCCACGCCTATTTGTCTGATGGTCCTTCAAAAAATATTCTTTAAAAATCCACGCCTATTTGTCTGATGGTCCTTCAAAAAATATTCTTTAAAAATCCACGCCTATTTGTCTGATGGTCCTTCAAAAAATATTCTTTAAAAATCCACGCCTATTTGTCTGATGGTCTGATGGTCCTTCAAAAAATATTCTTTAAAAATCCACGCCTATTTGTCTGATGGTTCTTCAAAAAATATTCTTTAAAAATCCACGCCTATTCGTCTGATGGTCCTTCAAAAAATATTCTTTAAAAATCCACGACTATTTGTCTGATGGTCCTTCAAAAAATATTGAGCAAAAACTTTAAAAATCCACGAAATTAATAACAACAACATAATTTGTGGCATAGCACAAAATGGAATGTTCTAACTCACATGTCATTTTACTTAATTGCCATGCGAACGTGTTATTTTTTTATTATTTTTTTTTTTTTTGTGAGAATAATTTTTTAAGTCTGCCATAGATAATATATTTTTCCTTTTATATTTTTTTACAAAAATTTTTAACGTGGATTTATGAAAAATATTTCAACGTCTATCAGTTGCGAATTTTTAAAACAATTTTGTACTCCACTGTAATTTTACCTCTTCTAGATTACAAGGTGTGGAATATGAATTTCTGTTTTTTGCTGCTTTTTCTCTTAATGATT